AATTTATGAAAATTTATTTCATGACCTATAGATAAAGATAAAAATTTTAAAAATTATTTAAAAAAAATAATTTCATGACTTATAGATAAATAAACATATAAAAATTGATAAATAATTTATAAAAATTAATTTCATGGCCCACTAAAAATTTGAGATTCTTTCTATTAGTTATTAAAATAACTTGCATTAGATCATTGTTATGTTTTTTTTTAATTTTTTTTATAGGCTTCATTCGTTATAATATTTCTTCAATCCATCTCTAAATTCTCTCTTTGAAATTTTGTTTTTTCAATAATTAAGTTAGGAATAATTTCTATCAAATTTGTTTCTTCGATCCTTATTTATTGAAGGATCGGCGAATAAACTTCATATAATATAATGAAATTATGAATATAATACATTGAGAATGAAGGGAAGTACTACATGGGCCGGAATACTCTAAGGGTGTTATAGGCTGTTTGCCTTAGGCCAGTATTTTGGCCAAAATAGGGCCCAATTTAAAAAATTGTTATAGGTTTAACTTTTTTTTTTTTTTGGTTTAAGATCAATTTAGAGGGCAGATGTTTTTTATTGGGCCATGTATGAATTTAGCTTCATTTTATTTATAAAATGTGTTTGGCCTATTTATTAAATGAAAATATATAAATAAATAATAAAAAAATAATAGGGCCTAAATTTGGTAAAACTATAAACATATATAGAATAGGGCCCCCCCTAAATTTGCCCAAAAATAGGGCCCTAATTTGGTACATATTTAGGCTCATGTTTTTTTTTTGGTTTTAGGATCAATTTAATGAGGGCCAAAATTTTTTTTGGGGTCCATGTATGTTTACTCCGATATTTAATTTATAGTGGTAGTTTGGTCCTGATTTATTAAAATGAAAATAATATATTAAAAAAAAGTGTTTGGGTCAAGAAAATAATACATATATATAGGCCTATTAATTTTTTTTATTTTTTTTACTTTTTATTATTAAGATTTTAAGTGGAATAAATAATTTTTGCTTCAAATGTTTTTACCTAGGTTTGTTCATTTTAATTGAATAATGTTTTTTTCCCCCTAATTTTTTGTTCATTTTGTTTTATTAATTTGTTTATTTATAATTTTTTAATGATTATTATGTGTAAGTAAATT